CGGCCCTATGTGTTCATGCACACTGTTCCTTCAAACAACCCAATCAGTGGTGAACTGGGCACAGCTGCAGGAACCGTTTGGAGTACCCTGTCCCTGCCTATAAAAGTGGTATAGATAACTAGAGGATTCCCACCACTTTTCAAAAGAACCAGTGCAATGATGCTGTGCTACAAAATATTTAGCCTCACCATGAAGGATTATTGTAGTTAATTCCAGTAAACCAACAATTTTAAGGGAGACATCAGAGACCCCTGCTAAAATATAAAGTGTCTGTCGGTAGCTATCTGCTTAGTTCTACAATGTTAGGTTCAAATGGTGCCATCTACCTGCTGTATTTATCTCATTTGTACTATAATGCTAAACAGTAAAAATAGATGCACCCTATTATTAATTTAATATACAACCCCCCACCCCTATATTAAAAAGCATTTTCTGCTATTTCTATCTTTTAACAGGTTTTCAGCTCATATCTCCTCACCTTCCTGCTAATTTCTAGGAATTTTAACCTATGAATTATATCACATACGTAGTTTTTTTTACTCAGTACCAATACTTAGCGTGCTCTACCTCTTTAAGGTATTCTTGATATTGTTTTGTTTATTTCTAAGATTTCTTGAACCTTTAAAGTAGTGTCTAAAATTGTGTAACAGTTAATAAATTAATAATGTGAATTATCCTAAATCTAAAACATTCAAATGACCCCTTACCATGGATTTACACCTATTATAGGATGTATTCCTGCAAATAGGATTTAATCAAACCTACACACTTTTTCATGAGTGGTTGCTTTAGGTCTTTAAGTGGAATTGAAATGAATAATAAACTAACTTAATACATGGAATTCATTCCTTCTCTTATCAATAATTATTGCACATGTGAAATACAAATATAATGTTAGGTTTCCAGTTTATGTGGGTTGTTTTTTGTGTTTTCCTCTCTCCACCACCAGATGGTGCCCTGTCCTTGTTGGGCCTCCCTGCACGCCTGCGGCTCGTTGGGTAATTACCAGAGGAGTACTTGAGCAGCGGGCTGTCACCACCTCGACGCCAGAGTGTTTGCCAGTATTGGGTACTCTAGCCAAACTGAGATTAGCAGAGTCTAACCTTAGCATTTGCTTCTCTGAATCTGAAGTTGTTTTTTGTTTTTGTCTTTGTTCTTCAGGAGGAAGACTTCCTGTGTTACTGGATTAGCCTGGACCTTCTACCCCTGGAAAGATTTACTGAGTCTCACTGAGCAAGAGGAAAACCTTCACATGATCCGTTCAAGTCCACTCCGGGGAAACCAAGTGACAGTCCGCTCCTTTAATCCACTGGGTCTCATGTATGTCTGCCTGTCCGCTCTCCAACGAGTTCCCTCTTCTCTGGATTAAACCCCCACAAACTGAATCCAAGGATAAACCCATAGCCCCCCAAAAGTGAGTGCCTCTCCAGCAATATTCAAGCCTCAGTCTATTTTCCCACTGTCCCTGAAGTGATCACTGTGATCTCCTCTTCAGAATTTCCGGTTCCAGTTCACCAGTCCGCTGAGTTCCAGCATTGTTTCCCCACAGAGTTTTAATCTCCATCAGTGTTTGCTAACCTACAATAAACCTGTTAAACTTTTACCCTTGGTCTCTGAGTGGTTCTCTGCATGTGGGTCAAATCTTTAAAACCCATTATGACATATAAAACAAAAACAGAATGTTTTAAATTTTTTGGTAAAAGCACTGCCATGTTGCAGTACTCAAATTGCTGACGTCATGGAGTTGGTTGATGCTTTTGGTAAGAGTTGAATATATTGAGAAAACCAGTTATACCTCATAACCGTAAAACACTTAGGGAATTTGGTATGATGGAAAAGAAGCTGGGAAGACACTAAAGTATCTAAATTCCATTGCTTATGAGCTCATTTGGCCTATGACTCAAGCCATAGTAGGGAGAGAAGAGCCAGGGTTCTGACTATCACTGCTGCCATACAGATGGTTGTGGAGATTATGTAAATCACCAGACTTTTGAGTCTAGCAAGGTAGTAGTACATCAGTCAGCTGGCTTAAGCCGGGCGTACACTGTGAGATTTTGTGGGCCATTTTTCAGTCGTTCGATAATCTTTCGATCGGCCTTGACTTTCAGCCTGATTGTGAGTTGTGTAGTGTACAGGGGGTTATGAAGGGCGATCAGCCTCTCCCGACCATCTCCCAATCAGGAATCGTGAGGTCGGGAGAAATCGCTCAGAGCGTATGCGCAACCAAGGATTGTTCTTTTTATTCTTCCTCTCAGATGTAAACACAGCAGCGTGGCAGGGATGCAATGAGTGAAATGCAGTTCTTTCTGTAAAATTGACAGACCGTAGAAGCCATGTCTTTTTTTTCCAAATACGTCGTTGCCTTTTCTTTTCAGGGCTTTCAGCACAAAAATGCACAGATTGCCAAGGCAGAGCGGTTCACTATAGTGAGCATAATATCCCTGTTCTTCTCGTTTGGCTTCTGGTTAGACACGTCAGAGCAACTTCATCTCACTGCGGAGCTGAGTCCGACGTGGTTTTTAGTCGCACAGTGTGAGCAGGTAGATCGCATGAGAGCGTCGGGCCCAACATAAATCGTGAGTTGTGAACTCACTGTACAAGTAAATCCTGCGGTTAGTCATACAGTGTGAGCAGCAGCTGTGTGCAACGATTGAAAAAAAATCACACAGTGTATGCCCGGCTTTAACCCTAATGCTTCACCGGGTTTAGCCAAATGCGTTTTACTGTTGTGAAGTATTGCCAGTATTATCAATATATTCTCCTGCTAGCTAAAGCTTTAACCATCCCGGTTACATCCCCGCTTGGAGAACTGCAACATAGCGGTCCCTTGACAAACATTTTTAAAACTGTTAATTTTTTTCTTTTGCATTTATATTTTTCACATTTGTAATATAATTATTGATAATAGTAAGACACAACTAATGAATGAGGTTAGTTTGGTTAATCATTTCATTTCCACTCTAGTGATCCATTTTTTGGCTTCTACTTGAATCTACTAGATCTACTAGAATTAGACAAAAACTTTATTTACTAGGTTTTGGGTAGAATTAAGAAATGTGGCTTTGGTTTCCATTACTTGCGTCATTTTTGGAGTTAGGCCACAAACTACGATATATGACTTTCTTAATATTTGATTAGCCTTAACATAACTTGAAGGCAGTTGTGATAATAGATGGGTTTTTCAAACTCTAACCACCAGGAAGTCCATAGCTGTTCCGTGTTCTGTAAAGCAGAAATCTAACAAGGAACCTAAACTGTTAAAATCTGTGAATTCTGAGAATCGAGAAGTTTTCTAAAGACCTCATCATGATGCCTTAGTTTGTTTGTTAGATTTATTTCGTTTTTAGGGTTGAATAAAAGATGGCAGGCTAAAAGTAGCATTATGGAGCCGTTTGGATTTACCTGGCTGAGCAGAAGAAGAAGAGGACAAACACAGCTGATAGGACAGTTTAGGATCTATGAGCTGAAGATGTTGGATCATCGTTTTGCTGGCTTCCTCTCCCTTTTTCATCACATTATCTATAATGCAGCGGGCCTTGTCTGCTGTGACTGGGTTCATTTCAAGTATTCTCTGTTTCTCCGAAGAAGTAAAAACACGATCTCTTTGAAGGCTTTCAAGGAGCTGAGTCAGGACATCTGAAGCAACCCTGTTTACGAACTCTGGTCGGACATCAAACAGCTTTTCCTCTGCAGGTAGAAATTGGAGACAGAAACATGGTCAATTCAAACTGATTTCTGAGAAAGGTTGAACATGTTGCGTATCCAGAGATTTCCCACCGAGGCTGTGGATCATAACTCCTTAGTGCTGACCCTGTTCTTCTTCTGTGACTGCATAATATCTTAGGGAGGACCTGCTGGATTTGTCCAAATGTGTCTGACTAAAGCTTTTTATACACTTTCTTTTCTCTCTGCAAATAACATTAAAATTCCGTTTAAATTTAGGACTGCATGATTTTAGAAAAGCATGCCATTACTCCCTTACTGTTGAACTTTGAGTTGAAAACATGACCCTCTCTAATGACTGGGATCTATGTTACTGAGATTGTCAATTTACCACAAACAGGTCGAGTTCCATCCTGGTTTCATGTTAAAATGATTAAAACCTTAGTAAATTATGCATTCAACAATGTTTAACGAATAACGTAACTGCCTTTTTCACAAGCTTTGAATTAACAATATAAATATTGTCATGGATTTGTGAAAAGGAATGAAATGTAAGTGTTATTTAAAAAAAATAATGGAATGTAATATTTGAGTTAATCAGAATACAATAGTTTAGAACTTGTATGAGGCTGAAGAAGGGATGAACTCATGGACTGTTTGAGTACATCATAGGGGAAAAGCTATGGGTTATAAGTGGTAGCCTAGTGGTTAGAGCAGTGCGCTTGTGCTCTGAGAATATTGCAAATACCCAGTTTGATTCCCACAGCCCTCCCTCTAGGTCCCTGAGCAACACCCTTATCCCCCGATTGCTCCCCAGGCACCACCAGTGATGGAAGTAACAGCGTTGAAAGTAATAGCGCTACTAACGCCATTACCTTTTTTTTAGTAATGAGTAATCCAACTAATATCTTTGACTGTAACTATAACACAGTTACCAAGTTACTGCATGTTAGTCAGGTCGCACAATGAGGCTTTTTTTCATTATAGGACTCGGACTCGTGCCCGCCTTGTCATGAGAGAGGGGAGGATGAGATTGGCTGTTACGGGTGTTGACGTACAGCACACACAGAGAGATGGAGAGTTAGGATGACTCCAGCAGCAAAACAGCGTTTTCCACATGGAAATACCGGTGTTACGTGGAGCTGCGTTTCCCCCATCAGATACGGTTTCCCCTGCATCTCCGCACAGTGCAGCCAGTGTTGGGCATGTTACTTTGAAAAAGTAATTAGTTATAGTTACTAGTTACTCCTCCCAAAAAGTAACTGAGTTACTAACTGAGTTACTCCACAATAAAAGTAA